CTAAAAAATTCTGACTGATAAATAGGAGTGCACAAAATAGTTATCAGGGCTCACTACAGGTCCAAAAATTTCAAGGTTTTGCGTGGCAATTTTCCATTCCATAGGAAAAAGAAAAGCTGACTATATTGAATCCAGAGGATTAGTTTCTTTAGTTTAAGTGTAATATGCAAAATTGAATAACATTTACTGATGTCTTTTCAGTGTAGATTGTTGATAAGAAAATGTTCTGATACAATTTTAATGTTTTAAATATTTCTGTTCTAGTATGTTAAACTCATCACATAAATTCTTACACACATGTATGTGCATTGCAGTTGCAGTTAAAGCTCAGTTTTGCTAAAGAATAGCACCAAATTTGTGGTAAATATGAAACTAGCTTAATCTATTAGGAATTCTAAAACAAGAGGCATAAATAGTGAGTTCATGGTTGAATTCCATCCATAGAAAACTTAATTTGTGCCCAGAGGTGATTATAAGTGCAGTGACAAGGCTTATTAGATTGCGCTGAAAGATCTATATTGGATACTCACAATCGTAGGGAATTAAGCTTAAACAATCTTTTGCTGCCTGAATTGATTATAGTTATAATAATAAAGTTGACTGCTGAATTTTCTTGATCTCTCAAAGGTTTCAAAAAAACCATGACACTAACTTCACTGGATTTGTTTTTCCTATTCATAACTCCTAGTGATAACATTGCTTATCTATAGGTAATGTAGAACTGATAAAAGTGTGAGGAAAAAGCCTCAACTTCTTCTTGCTGTACATAAGTTTTAATTTTGAGAGAGTGTTATTTTCTAGATATATTTTTCCTTATTTTACTGTGAAATTGTTTACTTCAAGGAGTTTTTCATAGCTGGGTTTTTTGGAAATGATCCCTCAATATTTGTTTGGAAGAGAGGGCTTGTGAAAGGCTAAGGTCACTCTTAGAGCAAGTGTCATATATTAGTGGCTGAATGGTACGCTGGGGTTTTTTTATTTATATGGGAAAGGCATTGGGTATCAAGTAGTTAGGAGATTTATACTGTAACTGTAATAGTATAGCAGGAGTTAGCATGGTACAGTGCAGATGCAGCCCTGTAGTGTCAAAAAATACCTCCAGATTCTCAGGTTCAAAGCTTAATGTACGTACTTCTGACATCTCAGGAAGAAAAGAGGCTGGGTGGGGAAGGGTAGGGTGCCGAGGAGACAAAAGGGAGAACATGCCTGGGTGGAAAGGTAAAGCAAACCACATGTCAGCTTCTGTCAAAACAGAAATAACGGTGAGACTGGGCAGCACAATGTTTTATCTGTAGGTGGGGTTGTACCACAGAACTGCTTTGGGGTGTTGCCATCCTGGGAAAGAAAATGTATGGGCATGCCCTGCCTACCTCTTCTATTGTGGTCTGGCTCTAGGCAATGCAGAATGCCTGCCCTACAAAAGGCACAATTATAAAATATCTGAATATTTTTCATCTAATAATAAAGGCATAATAATTAGATTATTTGCTTCACTATATTGCACTTTTATTAAGCATTCTCTGAAAAAAAGCAAAGATATTCCTGCAACACCTTGCCATATGAGAATGCTTACCTTGGAGGTCACTGGGACTGCTTGTATGTATATTCTAGTGTTTGCAGGCTCAAACTGTGTTTTTTGCAGAATGTTTTGAAAGATATCAGGAATACTACCCCACTTTTGTGGTTTTAAAAATAAATGTGAAGTCCTTAGTTGCAAAAATTGCCATTCTTAGAAATTATGTTTCATGACTTCTTTTGGAAATTAGACTACAGCCTGCAGTAATACCAGCTTGTCTGATTCACTCTGTTAATGTTTGTATTAATATATTAAAGCACCTCTGTTAATCCCTAGCAACACAACCCAAACCACATGCTTATTATGTATTTTATCCGAGTAGTCTTCTGAGTGTCAAACTGAGAGCTTTCATTATGATGAAATTACATTCCTGCTTACCTGAAGTTTTAAAAAAACCATTGTGTTAAAACTTGCACAGACTAGTTCTGCTCTCACATCTCAGTGGTAACTCAGTCTGGTACTTCAAAGATGACCCTGAACACATAGGTGGGATGTATATATGTAGGATACAGTAGCCAGCAGTGCAGATGAACCATGGAGGACGTGGAAATCATACATAGGCTTGGTTGGCCCTCTGCAGAAGAGCCTTTTGAAATGTAAGGAAATAGATCTGTGGGTGTGGGTTTTTTTCAGTGGGAAAATCAGTGAAAACCAGCACGTCTAAAATTTGATGGTTAGATTTACAAATATTTAGGCCAGTTTATCTGCTCATTACATTTAATCACAGTGATTATTCCTGCAAGTAAAGAAAGCAGACTCAAACATAGTGTCTGAAGTGGAATTTTTTCCTAATGAATGACCAATTTTGTCTCGGCTCCTATTTCAGTGTGTCATTTATCTTGATTAAGTAGTAAATCTCTTCCATCGTGTTATTTAGGAATCTAATTCTGACTTCATATTTACTATAGTTGAAGTATCCTACTAAGCATGATGTTTTTGTGGGAATTTGCAAAAGTTCAATAGCACTCATTACTTGTTTGCAAAAGAAATAGACTTATTTGTTAAAAGCTAACAAGAAGGGTTTGAAATGTAATGTTTCATTATTGTGCTTTTCTGACAGAACCTGTAATCCTTGTGTAATTTATGTCCTCAGAATTACACCTGTATGTACGCTCTTTCATATTTAATAAAACATTGTTGTAAAAACATCTTTGAAAATTATTGTTCCCTGCTTGCCTTCTCAGTCTCATGGTGGGAAATGGCTTTAATGTCAACTGCTCCCTGTACTCAGGAGGCAGCCAAGATCTCATCTCAGTGGTGATGCCGAGGAAATGCTTGATACTAATTTCAAGGTTTATTATTCCCTGTATTTTGTGTGACAGTTTTCAGTGAGAAATCAGTGTATTAAAGGGTCTGAGGTTCTATCTCTAGAACCGTAAATTTAGTTGAGCTGGTTATTTTAAAACACATTTTGTAACATTTTCAGTGTGGTACAAGTACTGCCAGTGATATACATACCATTGCCCAGTAGAATTTGTGTGAGCTGGGAAATAACTCCCAGTCTCTAATCAAATGCCTCTTTGCAGGGCTGTATGCTTAATGAAGACCTTGCTCTTACTTTACAAAGTCACTCTGAAATCAGTGAAGGCATTTCCTCTCTTGAGTTGTTCTTCCAGCTCTTCAAACACAAGCCAGTAATGTGGCCTGGCAGTGTCTTGGAGGGGAGCTCAGCAAGTCTCTCACAGCCACAGCCTTCAGTGTTTCAGCAAGTACAGGAAGGTAATATGTCCTGAAGGGAAGAGCGCATGACGTGCGTGTATGTGTGTAGTACAGGTCTGCATATAAACCTCTGATGTGTGGGTATGTATATACCTACATACACTAAGTATAGAGACATGTTTGTACATGTGTGTGTCTGTCTTTCAATACACTGATTCTGTGAAAGTCCAGTTAACAGAAAAAACACTCTATATTAAAGGCTTAGGAGTAATGTAAAAGCACTGGAGAGTATTTCTACCCAGCATTTTGAAACACACTTTTAAAACAAGAAAAGGCACGTACTGAATGACTTCTTTCCTTTTGTTCCCAGAATAAAGTCTAATAGCTCACAATAACAATCCCTTTTAACAACACATCTAGATGTATCTGACAACTCTGGTAATTCCAAAGAAAAAAAAAAAAAGATGTTGTTTGGAGCATGACAAGGCTTTATCTCTGTTAACAAAGTGTACTGCGAAGTGTGTGCAGAATGCCTGTAGCTCAGTGCCTACCACCCACAAAACATTTTTGGAAATGCATAGTTGAAACAAGCTCTCCTGTGATCCTGTGGACAGATCACCCATTAGCTTTCTCTGCACACTGGTTATACTCCCCCCTTCATGTCTTTTATTCCTTCTCTGTAGTTTTATCCAAAAAGAATGCACTCCTGAGACCACAAGATGTTGTGTAAGAAGCACTGTAAACAGGGACAATGGGGAAACATGCTTGGATCTAACAAACACATTAACACTGGGGCACCTTAAAACACAGCAGATGTCTGTGCAGGTTTCACATTGGCCTCATTGGAAGCACAGCAGTACCTAATAAGAAAATTTATTGCAAAATTTGTATTTTCATATACTTCTGTGCAACGAACATTTTCCATCAACTAAATAGAGGACTGGATTGTAAATACAGCAACAGGTCAATTAATGCCAAGTTCTACACTGGAAAAGGCAACACTCCAAGGTCTGTATTTTGATTAAAGAGTGGCAGTTCATTTTATCCTACACGTACATAGGAAACAATGAGCAGTGCATCCTTCAGTTATTGTGCAAGTATATAGGAGATACAAAAAGGTTACATGCCAATCTCTGAGACTCTTAAGTACAGTTTACAACAAACTATTCTCCCCTGCCCTGGACTGCTTCCCAGTCCACCAAGTTATTTGCTGGTCCTATTTCTTAAGCAGTGTTCACTGAGTCTGAAGGCACTTAAAGTAAACTATTCATTAAACTAGCAAAAGAAAAGGGAAATACAGACCTTTAAATCCAAGAAAGTAAATGCTTTTAACTAATTGGCTCTATTTTTCAGGGGGGAATATGAAGCATCACGTGCAGAACTTTCACTGCAGACTGTATGCAGGACAAGCTATAACTTCAGTCCTGAACAGTGACTTTATACTTTCCCCTCTCATCTCTGTGCCAAACATAAATTGAAAATCTTTAATCTTGACAATTAAATGGTCCTGATGGGGTCATGATCAGCTTCCTCAAAGGATAAATCCTCCTAGCTTTTAATTCTTGGGGCATCAGAAACTGCAAACCATGTTCAAGATTCCCAAGCATATTAAACTGACTATCTTTACATCTCCCTCTGGCAGACCATCACTCCCCTCAGAAACAGACCTTCCTTCTAAAAAACATGGTCTATGCTTCCACATAGACGCATGTTAGCCTGAGTTTTAAAGAAATCACTTTGTTGATTTACTAAAACTGGAGCAATATTTATTGCTGTAATCTTTATTACTTTGAAATAATATATAACTAAAGTAAAGTCAAGAAGGTTTTGAAATCTGCCTTCTGGTTTTTCTCTCTTTCTTCTAGGTCAAGCATCCGTTTTAGCTTAGAAAAGTGAAATTTGGAATTTCGGGGAGTCTTGGAAGCAGAGTTGGTTGTTGTCTGTCCAGATTCACGTGTCCTGAAAAACAAAAGATTCAAATGTCTTAATGGGGAGAAATCAGAATTAACGTAAAGTAACTGTGAAAGCACACATATATAATTTGAGTAAAAAATATCCAAGAGAAATAGTGTATTTTTATGTGCAGGTGAGCACTCAGAATTGTTTGTCATGCAAATTTTAGGACAGACATTTTGCATTAAAGACACAAATGTAACTGGGCATTCTTTGCACACAGTAGCTTTTCATGAGAATCTTTGATTTTAAAGGTTAGAAAGTTAAAATTGATCTCCTCAACCATACCAATTGAGAAATACACTAAGTTATCAATTTAAACTTTATTACAAGACTGATGTAAAATCAACAAGATTTAATACACTCTACTTGGCAAAGGTCTGCTTTAAATAGGAAAGAAAAAGGTACCTGGAAAGTGATGAGGGAGTGTTCCCTTTAGAACCCAACCTACTGCAGCTTACAGGTGTCATTTTCTTTGCAGACTGAATTTTTACACCGGGTGTCTTCAGGCTAGATTTGATATCTGGAGTGCCACAATTTTGTGTTTTGGCTGCCAGAAAATCCCTGCTTTTACCATAGTATCTTGTTGTTTTGTTGCACGATTTGCAAGTAACTAGCTGTGGAGAGAAGAAAGGAATTATCAAGCTGTCTTTCAGTCTTTCCACCTTTATGTTATAAAGCCATTAGAAGAATTATCCAAACTGTTCTCCAAATACCACGACACAAATTAAATATTTGCTTAAGTGAAACATGAGATACTAAATACAAAGATACATTTTGTAACTCATATTTTAATTCAGGCTTCTTAAGCCAAACATGTCCTTTGGGTTTATCTAGAAATTGCTCCAATTCCCTACAAACTAATTTCTGGAGACCCATACTGCTGAATTTGTACAGTGCAATACAGAGAACATTCCTGTCAAGACATGAAACAGCACCTGAACTGGGCAAATCATATTTTGAGTGTACAAGATATACTGAGTATACTGGAGTACTCCTATACATTGGGAATTTGGCTAAAAAATGTGACATTCTGTGCCATCTAAAGTCACTAGCATATTCTACCCCCAATGAAGTTATATTGCACACTTTTCAGGGAATCTTGGGATAAAATACTCAAAACTCTCAAACCCAGTCATCCATTTTACTAAAAACAGCAAGTCTCAGTGAAAAAAGACAAGGTTTTGTATTAGGGCAAAAGTATTTACTACAATAAGGAGGGTGTTCTAAACAAAGGGCACTTTCTCTTCTCTTCTCTCTGTGTACCTCTAGGCTGCAGGGAACTTCAGCAGCACACCAGGCTGAGAGGTGCACCAGAACTGATCACATCACCCAGTCAGAGGCTGTCAGGCATTCCTGATATCCCTTACTGCCATGGCAACTACTCATACTAAGAGATATGAAAGTAATACAGCCAGACAGCTTTCTGAGGCACCAATTAGACTGACAGAAAAACAGTTACGTGACGCTTCTGGTTAAAAATAACATACTCAAAAGACTGTCACAAAAATGTCTAAGCAGTTTTGAAAACATCTACACCAAATTGTTCTTCATTTCAGAGTGTGTAAATTCAGATAGTTTATTAAAAATTACATTTAGAGATGCTGAAATGAAACATTTTTAGTTAAGTGTTTTGACTTCCTCTAGACATTGTATTTTGTCAGCCTAACAAGCTAAAAGAAAAAAGAAATAGCATTAACTATTTTAGTGCTCAGGTATTGACGTATTTTTAGTTCTTCTAAATTAAATTCAGGTGGGAAAAAAACTCAGCATTTCATGGTAACTTAGCACTGTGTGGAATATAAATGGAGGTGACCACTTTACAATGAAGGAATTACTGAATTAATCATAGCACTTCATAGCTAATTTCCATTCCCTGAAATGGATCAGCAGTTAACTCCAAAAATTTTTAAAGCCTTGAAACAGTCCCTGTGTTACATGCCTTTTTATGGCAGAAGCAATCTAAAATCAAGTTCTACTTGCTAAGAAAGTTCTCAGAGGTTCAACCTGTCACATTATTGCTCGCATTAATTTCCAACCACACTGGAATTTTCATTTGCACAAGTCTCAGGTATTAGATTACAGGGATCTACATTGCTAATTTAGAAAGCTGCTAATTGCTGACAGCATTTTTAAAGACTTAAGACAAGAAACACTTAAATCATAATCCACAGGACAAATTCAAACTGAACAAAACACAAGTACAGCAAACTGTAATTACATACCAAGATCAAAATATTACCCATAGTTTAAGCTAGACCTATTTAAACTGAATTTTAAACTACTCATATGAATGCACAGTGTGTCCCTAACAAACACTCTCCAGCTACAGAATAAGTCTAAGAGCCCATCATCATTTCATAGGACACTGCTCTGTTCATCAGTTGCTTAAAGGGACAGTTCTTAATGCACCCTCAACATTCATGACATCAGAAAAATAAAGCAAACATTTCCACTTGAAGGATCACAGAACATCTTGAGTTGGAAGGGACCCACAGGCATCATCAAATTTCAGCTCCTGGCGCAGCACAGGACATGCCAAGAATCACAGCGTGTGCCTGAGAGTGTTGTCCCAATGCTTCTTGAACTCCTGTCAGCCTTTGTGCTGTGACCCCTTCCCTGGGGAGCCTGTTCCAGTGCCCAACCACCCTCTGCGTGAAGAACCTTTTCAGATGTCCTTTCTGAAGCTCAACTTCGATCTACAATATGGGGAGAGTGCCTTGATGAAGCCTCTTATTTTGCTCTGACAGCCAAAACTCTTGGTGATACATTCCTCAGTTTAAATTTTTTAATTGACTCTTTAATAATTTTTCGTTTCACAAAATTTATTCCTGTAACCACCAGACTCTTATCCAAGAAAATCCCAAGTGTGCCACCAACTGCTGGGCACAATAAGGTGCTATCTCATTTATGACAACAACCGTTCACATAACCTGTTTTAAAAACAGTACATACCTCGGCAACATAGGTTAAATGTTTACTATTATTCTTCCAATAGTAATTAAATGTCACATTCCTGAGTACTTTTAGGAAAAATAACTGAGGCCTCAAGAAAAACATCAACTTGTTGAAATTACCTCTGTAGTTTAGTTTTAAGAGAGTTTCTATAAGCAGTAACATTCAGACAAATGTAAAAAATTCTATTAATACAGATGGCAATAATAATCTGATGAAGCCATGAGAGGCTAGTGAAATACAAGAAGTAAAGCTTGTGTCAAAACATATTTGTTCAACAAGAGATAAACTGAAACAAAGGCAGTAAATGCGATGTTTGTGTAGCTTTGCTAACATGTGGGGTCATGAGGTTTTTTTTGACAAGAAATGCTTACTGTTCTTGTGTTCATGATCTACCTATTGTGGAAAGTAAATTTTAAAAATGTCATTTATGCATAGAAGTTATTCCAAAAAAGAAAGGAAGAGTCTTATGCTTGTGAAAAAGAAATGTGTGGGCTCCTCTTCTAAGAGAAAGGTTTCTGCATCTTCTTTTTTTGCCACTGAAATAGGAACATGAAATTTAGGGAAATGTCATGTACATGCCAGTTCCAAATAACTGTCCTTACCAGAATGCTTCTTGACTCCCTGTACTTTCTCAAAAGCTTCGTCTGCTTCATGTTAAGCTTATGATTCTTTGCCTCTCGTTTAAGAACCTTCTCTATCTGTGGAGTCACTTTCATCTTTGGTTTGAGGCGCACTCGGTAGCTGTCAGGAACCAGGAACTGGAAGCAGTAAGGACATATCCTTCCTAATCCACGTTCATCACCTACAGCTAAATAAAAGCAAAAGGATAAAATAACTATGTTCTATAAGCAAACGTTAAAATGGTGTGTTTCAATTTTAACATTACCTAGGTATATGATTTTGTGTTTAAGATACCACTAGAACACAAGAGGAAGCTGAGCACCAGAATGTGCTCAGGTGAGCACAATTCAGACAAAGTTAATGCATGGCACAAGTTTACACAATATGTAACTGTAGATTTTCTTGAAAAAATTTAATTCCTTCCCAAAAATCTTTAGTACTGGAGACTCACAATTCTGTACAGAGCTCCACATAGGCACAATCTTCTACCAGATCAGGGTCACCAATGCCTTGTAAAGCTCTTTGCCCGTTTTAAGTGTGAGAAAATGACACGATCTCAGGCTAGAACGAAGAAACGCTTTGAGATAAATTTCAGACCCAACAAGAGGCTCGCTCCTGGCAGCCGCCTCATTCTCTCCTGCTGCCGGAGCTGGACTCGGGCGCCTCTCCCTGAACCCCCGAGGGACACCTGGCCCTGCTTCCCGGCCAGCTCGCCACTGCTGCCGGCAGCGCCGAGACACGGCCCTGCGGGGGCAGCGCAGGGGCAAGGGGGAAAGGGAGGCAAAGGGCGAGCCGGCATTCAGCCCCACGCTCCTGTCCTTCCGCTGCTCTCCCTCGGCACGGGCCTCCGCTGCAGCGCGCCGGGCTCAGGGGCGCCCGGCTCCGGAGCCCCCTCCTCCGGCCCCGGCTCCACCGCCTGCGCCCGGGGCCCCTCACTCGCCTCGGGAGTTGCGGAGCATCCACCTGCGTGGGAGAGAGGGAAAGCGTCAGGGCGCGGCCGCCGGCACGGGCGGGGACATCCCGCGCCTCACCGCCGGGCTCCCGCACCGCCCGTCCCCGCCCCGCCGCGGTTCCTTACAGCAGGAATCGCGCCTGGCCCGGGCAGGTTCCCGCCAGCTGCCCCGCCGCCGCCAGCTGCCACCGCCGCCCCATGGCGCCGAGCGCCCGCCCCGCCGGAAGAGACGGGAAGGGAAGGGAAGGGCCTGGATGCGTTCCTGTAGCACCTGCTCCGGGGGACCCTGCCTTGGCACAGGGGCTGGACTGGATGATTTCCAGAGGTCACTTCAAACCGTAACAATTTTGTGATTCTGTGAAAAAAAACCCCCCACCTAAACTCCAAACCCCACACATTTCTCTGTGAGGGCTTGTCAGGTGAAAGATCTGCAGCAGCAGCTCCAGAAATCGCCTGATGCTGAACTTCATCTGTCGCGCTCTTTATTGGAGGTGCCTTTTCCGTGGATTTTGGCGACTGCAGACTTTATCACTCTGCAAATGTGCTCCCATTAAAAAAAAACAAACCAAAAAACCAAACAACAAAACCCCCCCCAAAAAAACAACCCCCTACCAAAACCACAAAAAACCCCCAAAAACCTCCCCTGCACCCCCCCCACAAAAGCCCCAAAACCAAACCCTCAGCTTTTTACCGTTTGATGTGTGTTTTATTAATTCCCTCAGCCCTGCTCATTTGCTAGACGTTTTTATCCTTTGATCTATTGGTAATGGTGTTCATTTAGGAGAGGTATTCAGCTGAGCAGGCTTCGATAGTCTATCAAGGAATTTGAATAAATGTAATTATTTCTTATTTTCTGACATGGAGTAGCCAAGGGCTTTAAAAATAGAAAAACAAAGGGAAAAAGGAATTTCAAGGCTTCCTTTAAGACAGCTTTACTGCACAGTCAATAAATCTGGACTTGTTAATGAAATGTTCATAATAGGTACAATTAGGGCCTCTGCTGACTCTATTTTTTTAATGAAACTAATTTTTTCAATTAGTCTTTCAATGTTATATTTTTGTTGCCTTTTTGCTGGCTTTGTTGATCCTAATTTTTGAGTGAACTCCAACCTTTTCTGAGTGGAAGAGCAGATTGTAATATCCATTCCAAACACAGCCAGTGTCCATCAGTCAACAGATTTTTTGGCAAATGAAGTATTCCCATTTATTAATACTGGCGAGGGAAAATGAAAGTACTTTTTGAACACCTGTAAGCAAAGATAATTCCAATGCTTTTTGAGGGGTGGGTCTGTGTCTATAATTTTTTAAGCATGTTTATTCCCTAGGGAAGTTGCTTGTGGAGGAAGAATGGTGAGGCAAGGCAGAACTTTCCCAGCTTCTGCCTAGATAAAGGGAAATGTGCTAGGGATTTCTTCTTTTGCCTGGAGCTGGGACCTGACTCCTCCCTGCCCCTGGAGTGGTGCAGGTGGGCCAGAGCATCTACACCAGCACCGTGGATTAACTTTTTCTTGTGAGAACAAATGCCTGAGCCACCTGATTAACCAGCATGTGCTGTACTTATTAAGCAGTGACTAACACAATGCAAAGGATTCATTTATATTCACCCCCCCCCTTCACTTTTACACTCTTTATTATCCCTGCTTTTTCTCCCTCAGTGTCTTCCATTCTGCCCAAAATGCTTTTACACTTTTTTCTCCTTCTGCTCCTGAGACAACACTGGGTCATTCCTTTTTTTCATCTTAGTTTGCCGGATTCTCTTTGCATTATAGATCATCTTTGTCCAAAAAGCAGGGCAGCCAGCCACTCCCAGTGCCATCCACACACAGCGCGATGTGCCTCATCCCCGGTCCCATCACATGAGGCTTTCCCATATTAGGTGCGGTGCTGAATGTGCTAAACAAAGCATTAGAGACAAGGAGGAAATGGCCAAAAACCATGGCCCCAAATTCATGGCTCTCTACGAGCCCCTTCCTGCAGAACGCCCATCAAAAGGCAGTATTTCTGTGCATCCAGTGCTGGCAGGACCAAACCCTTAAAACCAGACAACCCTCAGATCCCCGGCACAGTATTTATGGCATCAGTGGGATGAATTCATCCGCATTTCAAGGCAGAACGTATTCGTCTCTACTTTTTCCTGGCTTTTGTTCACAAAAAAAAAAAAAAAGCCCACGTTAGCAGAGCCGTGTTACAAACTGCTTCCCGCTTCTGTTGTTTAGCGCTTTGTGGCTACCACGGCTGGCCAGCAGGCTGTAAATCTTGCCTGGTGTTTTGTAACAAAGGAAAAAATAGAATGATTTGTGTTGACTTTTGGTCATCGTGTATCATTATCGATCCGGGGGAGGGCGGCGGGGAGCGCGTACCGTGTATCTGTTGCTCGCCACTTCTCCGGGAAGGCGGTGTGAGCCAGCAGTCAGTAGAGGGCAATAGAGAAATACAGTTTGTGATGCCTAAAGGATTTGAAGCCCTGATTATGTGTTTACAGAAAAGAAAAAGAAGAAAAGAAGAGCCAGGAGGATAGGTTGTTCAGTTTACTACCGGAGACCTGACTGTGACAGACCACCAAGAAAACAAAATTTTCAAAGAGAGTAAAGAAGACCTTCTGCAGCATCTGCAAGTCTGTCCTTTTTTCTTCAGAGTTACGTAGGATAACTTAGCCAGAACTTATTGATGTCTGCATGTTCAGTGGACTCGGGAATGGACTGGGAGATGCGGGGATGTACTCTTTGGAAGAAACAGGAGAGGAGGCATTTCAAAGATCCTGCAGGTGACAAAGGTGAGCAAACTCACAGCTTCTCTTTCACGTGAGATAATAAATGTTCAGTCAGCTGTATCAAAGTCATGAACACACTGAGTGAGTGATAGAAATTATATGAGAATTTTGCTTTTTCAGGCATGCTTCTGCATGATTCATTTTCTCATGGAAAAAAAGAGGATAGTGATGCTACAAGGATAAGCATTTCCAAGCATATGTTATTTTGGAGACATGCTAAAACCAGTGACCTGTTTTATGTGTCATGTTTTGTATTAGAACTGTTTGAAACGTGCTCATCATTTTACAAGGTTTATGTGCTACAGTTCCTAGACTCTAGTTTACAGAGAAATATATAAAAAAGATATGACTATTGTTGTTCCTTTTAGAGGGGATTTTTGCTCAGTTTTTAGACAAATGTGATTTGAAGGTTTGGAGAAATTTATTAAGAGATTTCTGGATGCATAGTGGGAATGCCCTCCGGTTTCTCAAAGGCTTTTTAATCAGAAAGATATTGCAAAGTGATCATGAAGAATACAGTAAAAACAAAAGGTGTTAAGCCATAGAAATCAAGGGGGTGGCAGAGGTTTGGGAAAGCAGAAAAAACCACAAGAGACTAAGTTAGAAAATAAACATGTGAAACACTTTTCTATTGCCAAGATCTCAGCTGGTGTCACCATAAAACTTGGAAAATATCCTTAGGATGCTGGGAACCATTAAAGCAGTACAGATTATCACAAGATAAACTTCCACTTCAGCTGCCACCACTACCAGAAGTGACCAATAAGAAATGTTTGGGAAATGAAAGATGAAGAATCAAAGCATTGACATTCTGGGGATATCACAGAGCAAATGCAAGGGTATCTAGAGGTCAGTCAGACAGTACCCATTTGAAACAAGGCAGGCTGATAAATAAAATAAATAAAACATACTTTGAAACAAACCATCAGCTTTTAAAAGATAATTAAAGGACAAGTTATCTGGTGCTCCTCCTGAGCTTGGATTTATTGTAAAAGTGGTATCATAGGTGAGGCTATGACACAGTGATTTATGTATGCTTTGAGTGCCAAAACATGTAAAAGATTAGCGTTAGTTTTGTTAGTTTATATGTTGTTTAGAACACAGCTTCCTTGCAGTATGTACCTGAGGGAGGTGAAAGATAATGTATACAAAGCATGCCACTATATCCTGTGGGTTGATAACATCCATTTGATAGGGAATGGACCCAATGACTATCAGAATCCATCTGATCTTGAAAGCTACAAGTTCCAGTTTCCAATTTTTAATTCCTTTCATTTAACTTCCAGTATTCTACATCTTCTTGTATGCTTGTAAATCCATTATCTCAAAAGATAATAGAAATTAAAGATGGTATTGAACAAAAACCTCAAAGAGAAATACTCATGCAGCTTAATAGTGCCAACTCTTCTTTAAAGTGGTCTCTGGTAGAAACTATTAACTCTGTATCTAGGATGTGAAGCTGTAGGGCAGTAAACATTCCCTTGTAACTGATGCCTATTTTCAGTGAAATTAGCAGGGTTGCTGTGTGGTGTTATGGCTTTATAAATACAGTCAAAGGGATTTTTGTAGTGGGGAGCCACACAGGCCAGCGGCTGGGGCTGAGGAATGGTTGCTACTGCTCCTGGAGGTCCAGGCCTTGCTTTGTCCCTGTGTGACTTTGTGGTACATCAGGCTTGTTTATGGTCATCTCATGAAGTAGCCAGCCTGCCACCTTGCCCATGCCAAGGGCTGGGCTTGGAGTGGCAGGGTGCAGATTGTCCAAGGAGGCCCTCCTTCCATGCAGGTTATGGGAAAGGCCATCGCCAAGTTGCAATATCCTTCAGTACACAGACAAACACACTCCTATGCCAGTTCTGCCTGTAAGTCCTTGTCATCTTGAGTCATAATAAAATATTCCTTAATTTTCACTCACAGACCAGTTGTCTAAAATTGTTGAAATCTCAAGCCAAAGTTTCACCTGTGAAAAAGATGCTGCTAATTAATGTGTTAATTGTCATGTAAACCCCTTTGCTTAATGAGATGTGAAATAGCCCCTGCTGTTAGGAATGTCAGTGTGCACAAGAGTTTGTCCCGGGCACTTAGGGTCATTTATTGCTGTGCTGCAGCACAACCCAGGGCTGCTATTTCAGCCTCTTGCCAAAATAGAAACGTTTTACTTTCTGATGAGTCATCTGGGTTTCACTGAGATCTTGCAAGGTTCCCCCGCCCTATTCCTCTTTGCTGTTGAGTCCAGGCCCTGCCCTGGAGGCCTTGCTTTCTCAGGAAAAGATGGGGTGGAACCTGTTTCAGCAGCTGTCAGCTCCATTCCTTAATTAACTTGGATCAAACTGCTAATGAATGATATGGAGCGTTTTCCCTGTCCATGGAGCTGAACATGCAGTGTTCCCAGCCTTTTCTGGCCAGCAGTGTGGCTGAGCAGTGCTGGCAACTGAGTCGGAGTTTGCCACACGTTG